ACAACTTCTTCTCAATAACCAAAAGGCCCAGGGTACTGATATTGGGCCTGTAGCATGCTGGGATGAAGGGCTACTAAGTTTGTTCAAATGAATGACCTTGACCAATTTTCAAGGTCACAGGGGTCAAATGTCGTAAAATCTTCAAACAACTTCTTCTCAATAACCAAAAGGGCAAGGGTACTGAAATTCGGCTTGTAGCATGCTGGGATGAAGGACTACCAAGTTCGTTCAAATGAATGACCTTGACCATCTTTCAAAAACGTCACATGGGTCTAATGTTGTAAAATCTTCAAGCGACTTCTTCTGAATAAGCAAAAGGGCCAGGGTACTGAAATTCGGCCTGTAGCATGCTGGGATGAAGGATTACCAAGTTTGTTTAAATAAATGACCTTGACCCACTTTTAAGGTCACAGGGGTCAAATATGTTCAAATCTTCAAACAACTTCTTCTCAATAACCAAAAGGCCCAGGGTACTGATATTGGGTCTGTAGCATGCTGGGATGAAGGGCTACCAAGTTTGTTCAAATGAATGACCTTGACCATCTTTCAAAAACGTCACATGGGTCTAATGTTGTAAAATCTTCAAGCGACTTCTTCTGAATAAGCAAAAGGGCCAGGGTACTGAAATTGGGCCTGTAGCATGCTGGGATGAAGGACTACCATGTTATTTCAAATGAATGACCTTGATCCACTTTCAACCTAATGTCCTTGTTCGACAATCAAGGTCAGAGGCGTCATATGTTTGAATATTTTAATAGGTTCTTATGAAATCTTAAGAATACAAGAGTTAGATTAATAACAGGTGAGCGATGCAGGCCCATTGGGCCTCTTGTTTAAATCGTCATCTAGTTTCTCAGGATTCAATTTCCATTCACCCAGCTCGTTGATATTCCAACCGTATCTAGACCTGATGAGCTCAGCCGCTGCACATCCATTGTTTATCGGTCACCTACCTTCGCAAACACGGACCGACGTTTTGTAACTAAGATATTTTATAGGGCATTTTTGTTTCAAATTAAGACTATTGTCAATTTCAAAGATCATGAATGCTTTTATAAATGCTTGTATGTAAATTAAATGATTTAAAATGTGCAAAGTGGAACTATTTGTTTATTGTGCAACTGTATATTTCGTCACAATTAACCACGCATCATCTTTCCCGCGAAAAAGGCTGTTCAATTAATGTTGTTTTCAGGACGGCGTATTTCATTTTTACGTGAAAAAAGCCCCCTACTTTTTCTTAATTTCAAATAATGAAAGTGAATGTAATAGAACGTAAATATAAGGTTTGAAACATTTATTAGGGTATTCCATGATGCGCGTTAACGCATCTTGGAGAATATGTTTGAACGGAACTGTGTTGAATACCCTCATAAATGTTGAAAAGATGCATTTTAAACCTTAAGTATATGTTGACAAATGCTCAAATTCTATAACGCCATGTTTTTTTTGAAAAACCCGCTCAACATCATGTACATCGTATTGCGAAAATGACAATGCAGTGCTGTGTTCAGAAAGTGCTCTGGTCATTTGTTTTGTTCCGCGAAGATGAGAGATGACATTTTTGCACATTTTTTTCAGCTTACAGTTTTTATTTCCGTTTTGAATATTCTGTCATATGTATTTTTTCATAAAAGCTGAAAAAACCTTGCCCTGCTTATTGTGTTGTCTTATTTCCTCTCGTCATTGTTTCTTTAGAAACAACACTCCTCCTGAACGGCTAATCAAATTTCAACCACATTTTCGATGAAGCAGCCAAAAGACCCGATATTAACATTTCATATAAAATGACGTGTAGCCCTCCTTCCCTTCTTCTTCTTCTTCTTCTTCTTCTTCTTCTTCTTCTTCTTCTTCTTCTTCTTCTTCTTCTTCTTCTT